ACAACTCAAAAAAACAGAATATATATATATATAAATATTTAAACAGTTGTGCCATCATTTATAATTATATACAATAAAAAAAAAAAAAAAAAAAAAAAAAAAATTAATAATTATTATAATCCACAACCCATCAAAAAATAATTTTTTTTTATTTTTATAAATTTATTTAATTATTTTTTATTATTTTTTTTATTTCTTATTATTTTTTCCTTTTTTTTAACTATTAATATAATAATAAATTTTTTTTTGTCTTTTTTGTGTTTTATAATTTTACGTCTTTTTAGTAATTTTTTGTTATAATAATATAATAAAGTTTTTGTGTTTTTTTGTTATCATCTAGATCCATAATTAATAATAAAACAAAACAAAACTACAATCTAAATATTCCAACAATTAAAAAGTTACCACACTTTTGCCATATTTAAAATAAAAAAAAAATTTAAAAAAATATTTATTTATTTTATTTTATAAAATAATTTTGCAATTTTTTTTTTTATTTATATTTATTATAAAAATTTATTTAAAATAAAATTTATAAATAAATAAAATTTTAAATTATTGTTGTGTTGTAGTTGTTGTTATTTTTATATAACTTTACTATCTTTTTTTTTTTTTTTTTTTTATAAAAAATAAAATAAAAATTAAAAAAATAAAAATAATAAAAATAAAAATAAAAAAATAAATATGATATCATCAATTTATATTTTTAAAATTTTATTATCATATTTGGGCGTTGAATATGAAATAAATCAATTAAGTGAAATAAATCAAGAGTTTACAAATAAATTGGAATCCTATAACCAATTTATAAAACACACTCAAAAAGATGAAGATTATTTATTGGGTCAATCTGCAGTCATATCAAGATATATTTCAAATAATCATAATTTCTCTGGTAAATCATTACAAGAAAGTGCTCGTGTTGATGATATTGTTGAATCGGTTTTAGAAATAATTGAAGAATATATTTTACCAATAATCAATTCAAATATTATAGTAAGTTATTTTATTTTAAAAAAAAAAAAATATATATATATTAATATCTTTTTTTTTTTAAATCCCAGAGTGATGAAATTACCAAATTACTATGCACTCATTTTAATGATTTTGAAAATCAATTATCCAAATCAACATTTTCAGCAGGAGGTGATAGTACAACCTTGGCTGACTTATATTTATTTATTTTATATGATATCACTTTAAGATACTTGGAAAATAATGGTTATATGGCACATCATTTTAATGAAAAATATCCACATCTTGAAAGATTAAAATTACATTTCCTTTCAAATAAATCAGTATCTGAATTTATCAATAGCAATAGTATAAATTCACAAACTTCACAATTAATAATTTAAAAAAAAAATTTTAAACCAACAAATGTAAAAATCAACCAAACTATTTAAAAACTATTTGACAAAAAAAAAAAAAAAAAAAAAAAAAAAAAAAATTTAAAAAAAAGAACATAGAAACAATAATATATAATAATATTCATTGATAAGTTCTTTTAAAATAATTAAAAATGATAAACAAACTCAATCTTAATGCTCAATCTTTTATTAAAAAGTTAATAAATGTAATAAAAACTACAAATTGTAATCCTGAAAATCAAATTAGTTTTTTTTTTACACTTTTTTTTTTTTTTTTTTAAAAAATAAAATCATTAACGTATGAGATGAGAGTGTGTGTGTCAAAAAAGACACTATTATATATATTTATTAAATTATTAAAATGATTATTTATTTTTTATTTTTTTTTTAAAAAAAAAAAAAAAAAAACCACATTTCAAAAACACAAAAAAATACATTTCAAACCAACACACACATTCAAAGTTATATTGTTAATATTTAGAGTTTGTATTATTAGTTGTGATAAGGAAAAAATAATGTCCGTTAATAAAAATAGTCGTTATCATTAAGTTTGGTTGTTGATTTTGAAAGTATATAAATAGAGTTTGTTTTCTCAATTTTGAAACTAAAAATAATCACATGGAGTCTTTGTTCACGTGGAGAATGATGATGATATATATTCTTTGTGAAATAACGACATCTCTCAAAACAAAATATAATATTAAATAACCATATATGTTGGTAGCAATGAAAGGAGTTTGAAAAATTTATCAATAACCGTATATAGCAATTAAAGTAATAATAAAAATAAAAAAATTACATCAACATATAATTGGTTATTTTATTATTTTACTTAAATTATTGTAATTGTTTTTTTTTTTTTAAATTTTATTTTTTATTATTTTTTTTTAATTATTTTTTATTTTAAAAAAATACTATTTAAAGAAAAAAATAAAAAAAAGTTTAATTATAAAAAAAAAAACCAATAATCTTAAAAGAAGAATAATTACTTTCTAAAAAACTAAAATAATAATTAAAAATGTCTATTTTTAGTAAGTAAAAAAATAAAAAAAAATTTTGTATTTTAATATTTGATGATCTGGAATGAAAATTATTCTAATTTGTTTTCTTTATTTTTTTTTTTTTTTTTT